CCTCAGCCTGCACCTGTACGGTCTCGGAGGGCTGCGGCCAGCGCCAGGGGCCACCCCCAGAGACCTCTGCTGCCTACTACAAGTGGATGGGGAGGCCCGGGCCCGAACAGGGCCGCTGCGAGGGGGGCCGGACTTCCTGCGGCTGGACCACACTTTCCACCTGGAGCTGGAGGCCGCCAGGCTCCTGCGCGCCCTGGTGCTTGCATGGGACCCTGGCGTGAGAAGGCACCGGCCCTGTGCCCAGGGCACCGTGCTGCTGCCCACGGTCTTCCGAGGTAGGACATGTGGCTGCAGGGTAGGAGGGGCAGGGACCCCCAAACCCCACCGCCACCCCCGCAGAGTGCCTAGGGGGCTGGGCTCTGGGCAGAAAGTGTGACCTGGAGTAGGGAGGCCGGGGTACATGAAGCTTCAGAGTACCCGGCTCAGGCCCTTGTGTCCTCAGGGTGCCAGGCCCAACAGCTGGCCGTGCGCCTGGAGCCCCAGGGGCTGCTCTATGCCAAGCTGACCCTGTCGGAGCAGCAGGAAGCCCCTGCCACAGCTGAGCCCCGCGTCTTCGGGCTGCCACTGCCACTGCTGGTGGAGCGGGAGCGGCCCCCCGGCCAGGTGCCCCTCATCATCCAGAAGTGCGTTGGGCAGATCGAGCGCCGAGGGCTGCGGGTAAGCACCCACCCCACTCCACCCCTCTGGCCCCCAGACCTCAGACCCACTCTTCAGGACACCCTATGTACAGATGCCAGACCCCTACCCCAGGCCTGAGCCACTCCTAGCTCCAATCCCAGCCTAGACAAGGGCAGAAGGCCCCCCCTTGACTGTAGCACCCTGGGCAGAACCCATGGGTCATCCATCGATTTAATAACAGGATCCAAGCCCTCCTGGGGCTCAGAGTCTGATGGGGGAAAAGATACGACTCTAGTCTTTCACAAATGTAAAACTAACTGGGACTAGAGTGGGGCGGGGGTGTACCTAGGGTCTGGGAGAGCTTAAAACAAAACCTGGGGTAGTCATGGAAAGCTTCCTGGAAGAAGCATCAGAGTTTCCTAAGTCAGAGGAGGTGGGAGCCAAGACAAGTAGTCCAAGCAGAGGGTTTACAAGGCCAGGTTGTCAAGGTAGTTCCAACCTCCCAGCCCCCAGTGTCCATTGCTGCCGTGGCCCAGAATTCCAGTGCTCACCCCACTGGGCCGATTAGTCTGTGGCCCCAGCAGGAAGATATTCACTCTCTCTTCCCGCCTCCAGGTAGTGGGACTGTACCGTCTATGTGGTTCAGCAGCAGTGAAGAAAGAGCTTCGGGATGCCTTTGAGCGGGACAGTGCAGCGGTCTGCCTATCTGAGGACCTGTACCCCGATATCAATGTCATCACTGGTCAGCATGGCCCCCTCTCCTCTGCCTGCTCACCCCCATTCAAGGCCTCACTTCAAGGCCTTGGGGCTCCTCTGGGACCTCACTCCTCCTATCTGACCTTGCTTTCACCCACCTCCTCTTCCCCCTTGTCTGTGCCCCTCCTTGGCCTTAGAAGCCAGTGGTGCCCTGACCAGAGGGGGCCCTGTGTTCACAGGCATCCTCAAGGATTATCTTCGAGAGTTGCCCACTCCGCTCATCACCCAGCCCCTGTATCAGGTGGTACTGGAGGCCATGGCTCGGGACCCCCCAAACAGAGCTCCCCCCACCACTGAGGGCACCCGAGGGCTTCTCAGCTGCCTGCCGGATGTGGAAAGAGTGAGTTGGGCCTGGTGGGAGTGATGGGACTTGAGAGTGGGCTAATTCCAATAGAATGTTCCACCCATGGCTGGGCCTGCGATGGCCTGCATGAGCTGGCAGCAGCATCATATCCCCAAGAAATAGGTGCTATTAGCATCCCACTTCAAAGATTTGGAAACTGAGGCCCAAAGCAGTTGAGTGAGTTACCCAAGGTCACACAGCCAGGATGTGTCAAAAATGCATGCTGAATGCTGGTCTTTCAACCTACAAGGGAGGTTCCTGGCTGAGGGAACCTGGACAAGTTCCATCCCTCTCTGTGCTTCAATACCTTCATCTGTAAAATGGGATTCATGGCAGCTTTGCCTTTCCAATGCTTAGTTGCCTTTGGCTTCAGTCTTCCCTCCAACAAAATAGGCTCATAATACTAATACCTAATGATTAATAGTCTTAACCCGACCACATCCCAGCTATGAGACTGTGAACCTGCTTCCTTACTCTAGCCACCTTAGTCTCTTGCAGGTAGGTGCCCAGGGGCCTGACTTTGTCTGACTTACATCCTCTCAACCCTCTCCCAGGCCACCCTGACGCTTCTCCTGGACCACCTGCGCCTTGTCTCCTCCTTCCATGCCTACAATCGCATGACCCCACAGAACTTGGCCGTGTGCTTCGGGCCTGTGCTGCTGCCGGCACGCCAGGCACCCACAAGGCCTCGTGCCCGCAGCTCCGGCCCAGGCCTCGCCAGTGCAGTGGACTTCAAGCGCCACATCGAGGTGCTGCACTACCTGCTGCAGTCTTGGCCAGGTGAGCTCATGCCCAGGACCTGCACCACCAATCTGAGCCAGGCTGCTGCAGTGATGCCACCTTAGGGGACCAATCAGTGTCTTGGGCTTGAAGCAGGCTACGTCCCCTCATGGAGTAAACTGGTACCTGGTTGCCTCAGCAACCAGTTCAGATCCAACCAATCTATCTGTTTTGTCTTTTTTATTATTATTATTATTATTTTGTAAAGACAGGGTTTCTCTATACTGCCCAAGCTGGTCTCAAACTCATGATCTCAAGCCATCCTTCTGCCTCAGCCTCCCAAAGTACTGGGATTATAAACTGAATCACTTTGCCCCACAGAGCAGATTCATCTTTACTTTTTTTTTTTTTTTTTTTTTGATATCTCTCTCTGTCACCCAGGCTGCAGTGCAGTGGTGTGATCTCGGCTCACTGCAAGCTCTGCCTCCAGGGCTCATGCCATTCATTCTCCTGCCTCAGCCCCCTGAGTAGCTGGGACTACGGGCACCCGCCACCACGCCCAGCTAATTTTTTGTACTTTTTTTTTAGTAGAGACAGGGTTTCACCGTGTTAGCCAGGATGGTCTTGATCTCCTGACCTCGTGATCCACCCACCTCAGCCTCCAAGAGCGCTGGGATTACAGGCGTGAGCCACCGCGCCCGGCCAGTCCTGGCTAATTTTTATATTTTAAGTAGAGAGGGGGTTTCACTGTGTTAGCCAGGCTGGTCTTGAACTCCTGACCTCAAGTGATCCACCCACTTCAGTCCTCCCAAAGTGCTGGAATTACAGGCACGCACTACCATTCCTAGCTAATTTTTGTATTTTTAGTAGAGACGGGGTTTCAAGGTGTTGGCCAGGCTGGTCTTGAACTCCTGACCTCAAGTGATCCGCCTGCCTCAGGCCTCCCAAAGTGCTGGGATTACAGGCATGATCCAGGGCACCTGCTGCTATCCATCTTTGATGCAGTCAGAGGCCCTGCCTCTTGACATGCCAATCAGAGGTCTAGTCGCCTAAGCAACCAGTTCTAGCTCCGCCGGTGAAACCCTGAAACGGTCGAAGGCCTCTTCCCACAGGCCAATCAGGAGCCTAGTTCCCTAAGCAGCCAATCAGAGGTCGGCTGTCTCCTCTGTGTATGACCCGCCCTGTCTCCCTTCAGATCCCCGCCTGCCCGGAGAAGCTCCAGATGTCGCGCCGTACTTACGACCCAAACGACAACCACCTCTGCACTTACCGCTGGCAGACCCCGAAGTGGTGACTCGGCCCCGCGGCCGAGGAGGCCCTGAGAGCCCCCCGAGCAACCGCTACGCCGGCGACTGGAGCGTTTGCGGGCGGGACTTCCTGTCTTGTGGGCGGGACTTCCTGTCCGGGCCAGACTACGACCACGTGACAGGCAGTGACAGCGAGGACGAGGACGAGGACGTCGGTGAGCCGAGGGTCACCGCTGACTTCGAAGATGACTTCGATGCACCCTTCAACCCGCACCTGAATCTCAAAGACTTCGACGCCCTCATCCTGGATCTGGAGAGAGAGCTCTCCAAGCAAATCAACGTGTGCCTCTGAGCCAGAGGACAGGGCGGGACCCCGGTTACAAAACTGGGCGCCTGGTGGCGAAGGCGGTGCCCTGGTGACCAAGGAGAGTCAGACCTGTTGCTCAGGCCGAGCTCCTGGTTGTTAGGGAGTTACCATGGGACCAGTCGCGTGTATGGCTGAGACTCATTCCCCGTTTCCAGGGCCCAGTATTTGGACACTAGTTGCGAAGTCTGGGTACTGGGGATTTTAGGGACCAGAGGTTGTGACCATCTTTCCTGAGCACCAAGGGTTTCACCTTTTGTTGCCAAAAAGGCAGTTCTCGCGCTTGCTAGGCTGGCCTCTCTTGCCTCCCCTTGGCCGGGTCAACACCAGTTACGGTGGGCATCACCCTGGAGTGGTGAGTCACCTCTAGTCGGCCCTCTTGCTGCTGCCAACCAAATCAGTATTAGCTTTGAGCACTGCACTCTTGTTTCTCCCTCCCTTGGACGACACAAGGACTAGCATGAGGCACTGTTTGTGGGAGGCAGCCCCTATCCTGGGTTCCAGCATGGACACAGGGGCAGCCTGGGGCTTATGGAGAAACAGCTGGTTTCCCCCACCCTTTTCCCGGGAAGACCCCACGATTGGCCTCTAGTCAGCAAATGGAGATAACAGAGTCTGGCCTTTCCAATCCCCATCCCCTCATCCCCACCCCTGAAAAGAAACTGAGCACTTAAACCCCTCTCTTTTGGAGGGGCCCCCCAAAGCGTGACGCTGGGGGCAGTCTGGTACGGAACATATTTATTGCCTCCATGCATGTGTGTGTGTGTCTGTGAGGACTGGTGTGCGTGGACACGTCTGGAGCAGGCGTGTGGGGCTCTTTCAGGGCCCACAGAGGAGGGTGCAGTTGGCAGTGCCCAGCTACCCTGAAATCCCCAGTAATGGTGCCTCAGTGGGCCCCAGAGTTCCAGTGGGAGAGTACGGTTCCCTCCTGTCTCCCTCTTCTTTTCCGCACCTCCATCTTTGTGGATAATAAATCAATATGCACAGGTTCTGAGACTGAGTATGTGGGCCCACGTGGGCCAGAGGTGGTTTATTCAGTCTCCGTAAGAGAGGGGACAAAGGGCACAGTTGGGTCCGTGGAGAGGAGGGTCGAAGAGCTCACAAGGGAGCCTCTCTGAGCTTTGACCCCTCCATCCCCTCCTCAGCGAGGTTGTGGAGTCATCGGGCCTCATGGGATAGGCGCAGGGCAAGCAATGATGAGACTCCAAACCAGCTGGACACAGTCCAGCCGCAGGAAGGCAGCCAAGCATCCTGACCCACAAGGCCCTATACAGCAATGGAGCCATCGCGGAAGTCCGTCCTCCCAATGAGGATGTTCACCACTACCGGGTGGCCGTCTCGGCACTGCTGCTGGGCGTCGTGCAGCACCTTGACCACCTGATCCTCGTTCTCACGTGAGAGCAGCAAGCCCTGGGCCCCCAGACCCATGGCTGCCTTGTGATATTCTGAAAGAGGAGATTAAGTCAGATGGTGGCAAGGATTCAGCCCACCGCACGTGCAGCCAGCCGGGACTGAAACAGCCTCCCGTCCTCCCAACCTTGCTGAGGCCCCCTCACCAGTGTAGGCCAGGCCACAGGCCACGTTGCTGCCCAGAGACGGCACCTGCTCCCGAGAAATCTGCGTCCAGCCAGCATCATTCCCTACCAAGGCCATTACTGGGATCTACAGAAAGAAGATGAAGGCAGGCTGCAGCCTTCAGCCCCATGACTTGGCCAGCCAGAGGACAGAGACAGGGACAGGGCCTCTGCCAGACAGGAGGCTCCCTCCCCACCTCAGCCCACCCCTGGTGACATCTCCCAGAACCCAGGCCCTAAGCTTCCCTCAGGCCAGCCCAGTCACCTTGTGTCTGACGAACGTATCAAATTCGATGAGGCTATAGCCAAAAGCTCCATCCCCAAACAGGCACCAGACCTGGTGGGGAGGGGACCCAGGATGGTTAGGGTGGATCAGGGCCCAGAGAGCAGCAAGTCTCCCAACTCCAGTGCTCAACTCCAGTGCCTCACCTCGGCATCCGGCCGGCACAGCTTGGCCCCAAGTGCAAATCCTGCACCAACTCCCAGAGTCCCAAAGGCCCCTAAGAGGACCAAGAGCAGGTGGGTGTGAAGGCGTCCAGATGAATGGTGCCCACTGCCCCTGGCGGGAGCCCTTCCTTACCAGGATCCAGCCAGCGCAGGGGGCCACGGGGCTGTACCAGATGGGCAGCAGTGCCCACAAAGTCCCCGCCATCCACCACCAGAATTGAGTCGTCAGGTAGCGTTTCCTCCACCAGCTGCAGCACCCGCACTGGGTTCAGGTGCTGGGCCACAGGCATCGCTGCCTTCTCCCTGCAACAGGACAGCGAAGGTCACCAGCGCTGGCAGCAGTGTCTGCCGGGAACCCCCCTGCCCACATCCACGCCACCCAGGCCCCACCGAAAGGTCTGCTCCTTCTGCCGGTCAGCTTCCCGCAGCTCCTCCACCCAGTCTGGGGCCCATGTCTGGCCCTGAAGGCCCTCCACCAGCTTCAGCACGAAGGAACCCACATCTCCTGGGGAAGGAAGAGGACACAGCTGTGCGGAGCTGGCTTCCTCCTGTTCTTCCAGCATCAGAGGCCTCAAAACAGCAGGAAGCCAGCAGCAGCATCCGAGCAGGCAGACGGGAAGCAGGCCAGGGGTGCTCCTAGGAAAAAAACAGGTGAAACACCCCAGAACCAGGGGAGGGCAGCCCAGGTGAAAAGGGAGGTCAAGACCCAAGAAACAAGAGTTAAGGAGCACAAGGCAGGTGACAAACCCAAGCTGGCCTCGTCCCCTCCCTCTACCTCCTTCTGCCTGGGAAACAATGGAAAGAGCTACATCCACCAAGCACATCTTTCAAATCCAGGCACGTGGAAGCGCACGGCAAACGTTACTGAAGTGCACTAACAAACAGCCTGTGATGTATTTTTCACCACCCCATTTTTCAAATGATCAAATGGAGGCTCCGAGAAGGTGAGGCTCTCCCACTGTTCATCTCCAGTTCAGGCCTCCTCGTTTCTGTCCTGGCCATTTTTAGCAGCCCCCCGGCCTCCACCCAGCCCCCTTCCGGCCTGCCATCCACGGCTGCTGAGGGGACCTTCCCAACACAGATTCAACGGTGCCACTTCTCTGCTTAACACAAGAGCGTTCTGTCGCCTAGGCTGCAGAGGAGTCAACATCCTCAGAACAATGAACAAGTTCAAGTCCAAGGGGACTCAAATAAGGGGAGGGCATAGATACAGCAGGAAGACAGAGAGGCTAAGGGGCCAAAGAGTGTGCAGTGGGCACACTGAGGGCAGTGGGCAGTGTGGGAGGGAACGTAATCACATGCATGTTTTCAAGCTTCCCTCTGTGTCCACCCCACCATCTGTTCCTACAGAAGCATCGATTAGGCCGGGCGCAGTAGCTCTGGTCTGTAATCTCAGCACTTTGAGAGGCCGAGGCAGGAGGATCACTTGAGGCCAGGAGTTCGACACCAGCCTGGGCAACATAGTGAGATGCTGATTCCACAAAAAAAAAAAAAAAAAAAAATTAAAAATTAGCCTGGCATGGTGGTGCACGCTTGTAGTCCCAGCTACTCAGGAGGCTGAGGTGGGAGGATTGCTTTGAGCCTGTTGAGTTTGAGGCTGCAGTGAGCTGTGATCGCACTACTGCATTCTAGCCTGGGTGACAGAGCAAGACCTCCTCTCCAAAAAATAAAAATTAAAAAAAATTTAAAAAAGAAGCATTCATCAGTTTGAGGGCCAACTATTTGTCTCTGGTTGACAGGCTGCGCCCTAGGGCAAGGTCTGGGCCTCGATCACCGTACTAGGTTCAAGCCAGCTGCAGCAGAAACCAAGAGGAGAGGGACCGGAAGGAGCGCATATGTGTACGGGGGGATTAGGGGGCTCACCCTGCACAGCCTCCTGGGGCTTCCAGAAGACGTCTGAGTTGAGCAACATATCTTCCCGGTTACGATTGACAATGATGATCTTGCTGCTGTGGCTGAGGACACGGCCATACGATAGGCGAAAGTCGCACACGGTTCCTGGGGTGGAGGACAGGAATACAGTGGGTAGAGGCCCCATGTCCTCTACCTTACTTGATCCATTGTGGTGGACTGGATGCAAAAGACTTCCTGTTCCTCACCGAGTCTCCTTGCACCTGTGCCACCTGCAGTGACCTTGAAGCTCCCCACACCCCCTGAATCTGGGCTGGCCTCATGACATGCTTTGGCCAACAGGATAGGGCAGAGGCGGGTTGTATTTTCCCGGAATGGCCACAATATCTCCCACCCTACATCCACTTGTACAAGGTCACCTTGACATGCCTCCCATGGAGAGAGGTGCAGCCTGGGTCCCCTTTCCTTGAATCAGGTGGCAGAAGTGACATAGCATGACACCCGAGGCTGGGTCAGAAGAGATGCAGTTTCTTGTTCACTCTTAGAGGCCTGGGTGGGGCCAAGGAGTGTGCTCTGTCTGCGAAGTCTGATTACCCCGAGGCCATCATGCTGGGAGGAAACCCGAACCACAAGGAGAGGCCTGTGTAGTTGCCCTAGTCCACAGCCCCAGCAACAGTTGGCATCAATTGCAAGACCTCTGAGTGAAGACACCTCCAGATGACTCAGGACCCCCTCCCCCATTCCTGCAGACTCTACTTCAAGAAGCCACACAGCCTCCACTCTCTCTCTCGAACAACCACACTCCCCCAGCCCCATAGTTTTCTCATCCTTCACCAAGTCAGCTGGCCCAGGCTAGCCTACTGGAGGATGAGAAACAAGGGGGCCATGGAGACAGGGATGAAGAACTCTATGACCCCAGCTTAAGCCATCCCAGACCAGCTGCAGGGCCAGCCAATCACCATACAGGTGAGCGAGCCCAGCCTGGATCAGCACAGCTGCCTTCCTGCCTAACCCAAGAGCAGACTCACAAATGAGCCCAGTCAAAACCACAGCTACCACCTACCTTATACGTGGGTCTTGAGAAATCAGAAATGCATTTTTAGCCATTGAGTTTGGGGATGGTTGTTACAGGGCAGTAGCTAACTGATACACCTATTATGTGTCTGGTAGGGTTCAAAGCGCTCTATGTGAAAATGTGTATCAAGTACAGTAGGTGCCCACTAGATGTTCATCCTCCTTTGTGTGAAGCTGGGTAACAGGGTGAGGGGGTTCCTGGGGGAAGGAGGGAAAGGAAGAGGCTCAGGCCCACCTGCTAGGACAATGACATCTGCCTTCTTCAGGGCCGCACTACGGTTCTCCCGGATGTGGAGGGGGTGGTTGCGGCCTAACAGCCCCCGTGCCATCCCCCCAAGGAAGCAGGGAACACCCAGGGTCTCCACGGCAGCCCTAGGAGTCCAGACAGAGCAGAGGTCAGTGTGGCCGGGGCCTCCCGCCTCCCCAAGAGCACCCAAGGACCAGGAACTGGGAACGTGAAAACAAGGGCAGGGCTGGGGCTTCTCACCGAAGCTTGTCGGCAGACTTCGGGGTGAGCAGGGCCTGACTCCCTAGCACCATTAGGGGCCTCTTGGCCCGGCTCAGGATCTCCACACAGCGCTGAACCTGGGGCGAGAGGTGGGGCTCAAAGAATTGTCTTTTTATGTTTTTTTTTTTTTTTTTTGAGACACAGTTTCACTCTGTTGCCCAGGATGGAGTGCAGTGGCGTGATCTCAGCTCATTGCAGCCTCCACCTCCCAGGTTCAAATGATTCTCCCGCCTCAGCCTCCAGAGTAGCTGGGATTACAGGCGCATGCCACCATGCCTGACTAACTTTTGTATTTTCAGTAGAGACAGGGTTTCACCATGTTGGCCAGGCTAGTTTGAACTCCTGGCCTCAAGTGATTTGCCCACCTCGGCCTCCCTAAGTGCTGGGATTACCACCGTGAGCCACCGCGTCCGACCAAAGGGCCACCCTTGAGTCGCCATGAGCACCCAAGATCAAGGCCCCAATACTGACTCAGGGAGAGGGTCAGGGGGCCCTGCTGGGTAGGGTCCTCAGACAAAAAAAGAGAGGTAATTCACCTGCTGCGGGGAAGCCTGGGGGATGTCCAGGGGCAGTGGTCCCTCGGGCTGAGGCTCCCATGCCCCAGCAAAGAGGTTGGCCAGGTAATTCTCTAAATACCTGCAAGAGGGAGGGGAAAGAACCAAGTTTCCAGAATGAACTACAAGGATTCCAGGATCTGAGGGAGGAGAGGGGCCGGGAAAAGGGCCAGGAGAAAAGTCAGGAGCAAAGTGACATGGGGACAGGGATGGGGAGTAAGAAACCTCAGGGGCAGACGAACCCTGGTGGCCAAGTCTCCAGCATCCTGTTTCCCCTCAGTAGCCTCTGGGGTCCACCCTAACTCCACGTAGACCCTCAGAAGCAAGGAAAGCAGGCTCAGCATGCCAGGATTAAGCCTGTGGGTCCAACAGATGTGCGCTCAAGTCCCGGCTCTGTCACTTCCTAGCTGTGCGACTTAGGGCAAGTGACTTCACCCTTCTGAGCTTCTTGCCTCTGTCAATGTAAATATGAACCTCCCTCTCCAGGTTCAAGGATCTGTCCATTTAGGTCATGAGGTGCTTTGCGTAACACTCGATCCATGGGAGTTCTGAACACTATCCTCTCCTGCTTTAAACAGGACCTTCTGGTCTCCTTGCTCATTGGGCCCCAGGGCCCCAACTTTCCTGAAGGTCCTGTGCAGGGCCCTGGAGACACAAAGATAGATCCCGCCCAGCCCTGCCCTCAGGGGACGCTCTATCCAGCCAAAGAGAGACGCATGGGCATTGGCAGGAAACAGTCGGAGCTCAGAGCCAGAAGCCTCTGCTTTCACTGTCAAGGACAGGCTGAGACAGCACAGAAGCAGCCAAGGATGGAACCGTGGGAAACCCCGCAAGTAAAGAAAAGGCAAGGGAGGCTCAGGCGGGAGGACTGCTCGAGGCCAGGAGTTCAAGGCTGTGGTGAGCTATGATCATACCACTGCACTCCAGCCTGGGTGATAGAGCGAGACCCTGTCTCAAAACAAAACAAAACAAAAAAGGCAAGATAAGAGACAGCCTTGTGAGAGGCAGCCCGAGAGAGGGGCAAGGAGGAGGAGAAGGGGAGGGACTGACTGGGAATTGAAACCTCATCTCTACTAAAAATACAAAAATTAGCTGGGCATGGTGGACTGCACCTGTAATCCCAGCTACTGGGGGGCTGAGGCAGGAAAATCTCTTGAACCCGGCAGGTGGAGGTTGCAGTGAGCTGAGATCGCACTACTGCGCTCCAACCTGGGGCACAAAGTGAGACTCCGTCTCAAAAAAATAAAGAATGAGGCCATAGAACAAAATCACTACTGCCTGAGCTGACCCTCAGGGGCTTCACACACATCCGGGGTACCTGACTACCTTGTCCACTGGTGATGCCCCGTGCCTGTCCTGGAACCTGGCACATGGCTGCTGCTCGCTAAATGTATAGAAAGGAAGGGCCGAGGACAGGCAAAGGGAAGGGACTGAGGGGAAGGGAGAGAAATAGGAAGAAGAGGAAGAGGAAGAGGAGAAAGGAAAGGAGGAAAAGGAGAACAGGCCAGGCCC